CAGCTCTGTGTCACTGGGCTCGTCTGGCACAGGTATTGAGCAAGAAAGCAGCTGGGGGAGGAGGGAAAACCATCACTCACCGGCCTGCCAGCAATCACCTTTGCATTCTCAGACGTTATTGGCACCTTGCTTCGTGACTGGAGAGCCATGTAAGGCATGTTTACCTTTGCTCTTAGCGAAGAAAGGCCTAATTTGAGCAGTTACGAGGTGAGGTGGCCAAGCTGGATAGATCCAGTTGAAGATTAGTGCAGCCTGCCTCTCTCTGCCCTTCACACACTGACTAATAACCACATAAAAGTCTTGTTCCATGCCCTGCATTGTGTGCTTCGTCTCTGACTCACGTGAGGAATGCTGGTGTCTTGGTCCTGAAAAGCCAGAATAAAGGTGGGCTGTTCCATCCTTCTGTGCTCCCTGCTGTACGGAGCAATGAACTGCCCCCCTTCTCACACACTCAGTCCTTTAATAATAATTATTATTATAATAATAATAATAATAATAATAATAATAATTGCTTACACTTATATAGCGCTTTTCTGGACACTCCACTCAAAGCGCTTTACAGGTAATGGGGATCCCCTCTACCAGAACGCCAGAACGCTCACCACACTTCAGCTCTCAGTGGGGCGGAGGGCAGAGTGATGAAGCCAATTCATAGATGGGAATTATTAGGAGGCCATGATTGGTAAGGGCCAATGGGAAATTGGGACCCAATGGTAAGGGCCAGTGGGCATTAGGACCCACATGGACCGCAGGGTGAGCACCCCCTGCTGGCCCCATTAACACCTCCTCCAGCAGCAACCCAGGAGGTCTCCCATCCAGGTACTGACCAGCTTAGCTTCAGTTGGTTGCCAGTTGTGAGTTGCAGACTTTGGACTGATAAATTAACAACGATAAGGACATGATGCGAGGGGGGGGAGTGATCTTCTTTATTTGGAAACAGTACTGTAGAATTCCTTCCACCCTCATGATAAAGTATTTTAAGCAGTTGAAGGCTGAAGGAAAAACTGAAGTCAGTAGCTGAACGTTGTCTTTTCTCAGGAGTGAACAATGAGGGGGGTTTCACTCAAGACTGCAGAGGTTTATGACACCAGTGCTGTGAGGAGCTCAGAGGGCTGTTTGTGCTTAGTGCACTCCTGCCTCCCTGACATCACCACCGTTTGTCCCGTTAGTCATAAAAAGGCAGAAGACAAAAGGCCGGGACAGCACCCCTCCCGCGCCTGCCTGAGCCCAGCCCTGACCTGTCTGTAGAGGGGCTCCCAGCTGCCACATTACTTCCTGCTCACTTGCTGTCTCCAAAGGAAGGCAAACAGTGGCCCTTTCAGCGGCCGGTAGCCATCCCCGCCATATAACTCCCTTTTAAATGCAAATGCATGAACTTTTACTCCAGACAAAGGATTCTGTTTTCTTGTCCCTCACCTAGAATTGGCTACCAGGCGGTTGCTGCCCCTCTCCGAGCTCGGGCACAGGGCACGTTTTGACCTGATGATGCGCTTGTGAAACAGAGGGGTGCAGTCTCCCGCCTCTCCCTGCACTGCTGTCCCCCCGTTCAGGAGAGCAGGAGGGAAATGTGCGTCAGCTGCCTTAGGCACTGTGCTGCACAGCGTTAGGCTGACTAATGGACTTCACCAGTTCACACTGTACACGCCTCCAGCGATTGCTTCTTTCTTGAGTGAACCCACCCTGCCCTTCCCTCTTGCGCAGTCTCAGTTATGTTAATAATCTAAGGCAGCTCATTTTTTTTCCCTTCCAGGCCTAACAGTGAGGATATGATCAAAAGATATTGTGTTTCTGGGCAGCTGTGCAGCTTATTGTTTCTGGATCAGTGAGGTGCGGGGTGCTGTTGTCGGGGTGCACCCCAGGAATGAGGGCCTGCAGTGCCTACAGCAAAGGGGGGTGTTAATCATTTACCCCGCACTGCCTGGGCCAGCCGGCCCTTGGAGACCATGATGTCATGTCTCTGCTCCTTGTAAACACCTCTTAGGCAGAGTGATTGCCGGTACCTTACGGGGACAGACTATACAATTACACAGCGGCCAGGAGCTTGGAGACCAGACATTACAATGATATCATGACACACTAGAGGCAGAATTTCAAAGTGCAACAACCCCCAGCTCCAGCCCAGCCCCCTCCCCTCCGGACCGCTTAGCTCCTGCCCCCAGTTCAGTCCTTCCCAGCTCACCCGGGCTGCCTCTCTGGCAGGACCATTTTATTCCTGTTAGCCGTCACTTCGCTGAGGAGCTCCGATTTGCGGCGTGACCGCTGTGAATATCATCGTTTGCGTTTTCTGTCAGACTGGGCGTGCAGCCTGGAGCTGGGAGAGCAGGTATTTTACTTCACAAGGGCTGACTGCTCATCCCCCAAGATCCAGCCTGGTTTGATTATATATAAAACATTCCCACCACCCAGACAAATCTCACAGGGAATTCTTCCTCATGGCCTTTATATTCACAGTGACTCATGACATGAACTGATTCAACCTCTTTTTAAATTTGTGTTTTTGCCTCTCTTCCATAAAACTGCTTGACCCTTTTATTTTGGGGGTGTGAAAGGTTTTTATTAACACTGTGTAAAAAGAAATGAAAGTTTTTCACACTTTGTTTAAAAAAAACCCTTATCTCAGTTTTAAATGCACTTCCTAAAGATGTGTGTATGTGTGTTAAGTAATTATGTGGAAATTCCAGCCTCAGCAATGAAGACAGTAATAGTCATTTGGTCATTGACTCTCATTTTGTCACTCTTGCTCCCAGTCTGGGTTACATGTGAATCATTTTCCAAGCACTTCCTGTTGCCTAGGAGAGAGAGGTGGGCGGGCAGGCAAGTGAGCAAACTTTTTCTTGGAATGGAGGCAAAGTTCATGTTGGTAAAATCCTTGAGCAACAGACTGGCCAGTGAGCTGTGGCCTCCAGCTTCACACAGAGACACACAGCAGAGACAGACGCCGTCCCACAGGATGTGACCTCTGCAAAAACAAGCTCCGCCCCACAGGATGTGACCTCTGCAAAAACAAGCTCCGCCCCACAGGATGTGACCTCTGCACTGCACTGTAATGGGGGTGGTGGGAGTAGGGGTTTAATAAGAAAAGAGACTCATGGCTTGCCATAACTCCGCTGCCTCATCTCTTCTCCCCTCACTTTCTTTTTCAAACAGAGTTCAGTTCTGTCCAAAGGGCTACAAAATGCATTTGAATTTAGGGATCAAAAGCACCTATGCAAAATTTCATTTTCTTCATTTAATTCGTTCAAAAACAAAACACTTCTTGATTTGAGCGCTAGGAGTCCTGTGTCATACGTCCTGGGTTTTGTCATTTCTCCTTTCCAGCCTAGTCTTCTGCCACTTGAAACGAACAGAGCTGGCACTGAGTCACTCATTCAAACTCCTTACGAAGAGCAGGGCCACAGGACATGTAAGAGCTCATAGTGAAGACTGAGCATGAGGCTGTTACTCACTGTGGCAGGCACGGCGTCCTGAGTGTGACGCTGACTCCGAGAGACCGTTCCAGTGGTGTAAAGAGTGACTGAGAACCACTCGCAGCCTGTGACCTCTCTTGGGTCCTGACTGTCCTGTTCCCTTCTGAGTGCTCATAGATTGTCAGACAGGACTCAACACTGCAGACTCATACCAGCCACAGCCGAGCCGCACACCCCTGGATGTGGGTGCACAAGTTTTGCCCCAAGTCCCCAGAAGGCTGAAAACCATACAGGAAGCCAAAGAGCTCATTTACTCTGCGACCCAGTGCAGCCCCATTCAGAGACAAGCACAGCGAGTTCTTAAAATCCTAAAATATCTGAATGCCACAAATAAAGTTTTTGCATAGTTTATCTAATGACTCACTTTGCAGTGATATTTGCATTTAAGCAGCCATATCACCCTGCAACTCCCAACTGGCAGCCCACTGAAGCCCAGCAGGTGTGAGCCTGGTCAGTACCTGGATGGTAGACTCCTGGGAAAAACAGGTTGTTTCTGGAAGAGGTGTTAGTGAGACCAGTAGGGGGCGCTCGCTCTGCGGTCTATGTGGGTCCTAATGCTCCAGTATAATGGCAGGGACACTATACTGTAAAAAGGCTCCGACCTTTGGATGAGATATACAGCTGAGGTCCTGACTCTCTGGGATTAAAAATCCCAGGATGTTTCCTGAAAAGAGTAGGGGTGTTACCCTGCTGTCCTGGCCAAATTTCCCCCTGGCCTTTACCAATCATGGCCTCCTAATAATCCCCATCTATCAACTGGCTTCATCACTCTGTTCTCCTCCCCACTGATAGCTGCTGTGTGGTGAGCGTACTGGTGCACCTCTGACTGTTGTCGCATCATCCATGGGTGTGGGTTGTAGGATTCCCCATTACCTGTAAAGTGCTATGAGTATTGTCCAGAAAGGCACTAGATAAATGTAAGGAATAATTATCAATTAAGTTGCCATTATTTTGATCCATGAACGCCTCTCTGTGTCCTTGGTGGCAGATGGAGCAGTGAAGCTCTGCTCACTGGTGAGATGTGTGGGTGCAGCTGGCAGAAGAGAGGCCAGACTGCACCGCCGAAGGTGCTATATCGAGAGTCTCCAGCCCTCTCTGGAGCCTCTGATGTCCTGCTGTTGGAACCTGCAGTCGAGTCCTGGGTCCTTATGAGTTGCGATGGGAGTTGGGCTTGAGCACAGCTGTGCAGTGGGCAATACGCTTCACATGCACACACTGGCCTGGGCAGACTGGAGCGAGGAAGCACAGGCGGGCAGGCCCTTTCGCAAATCAGCCGATCCAATTCTTAACTGAGCTAGGACGAATGGCCTTTATGAGACTAACATGAACAGCAGACAAGCAAATTTGTCATTTCTAGAAGAATGTCTTGGTGACCCAGAGCGGAAGGGTCACTAGTAACGCGTTTTCGGGTTGTTCTGTGTGAAATATGAGTGTGGGGAAGGATGGGCGCTCAGATGTGGGCAAGTGTTAGATCTGCCCCCGCCAGGTGTCAGGGCATGACCTCACGAGCCCCGCTCTCTCTCTGTCTTGCAGAATGTGCTGGCCAAGGCTCTGTACGACAACGTGGCCGAATCGCCGGACGAGCTGTCCTTCCGCAAGGGGGACATCATGACGGTGCTGGAGCGCGACACCCAGGGGCTGGACGGCTGGTGGCTGTGCTCCCTGCACGGGCGGCAGGGCATCGTGCCGGGCAACCGGCTCAAGATCCTGGTGGGCATGTATGACAAGAAGCAGCCGGCCGGCATGGGCCCAGGAGTCCAGCAGGGCACCCCCACGCAGAGCCCGCTGCCCTTTCCCCAGCAGAATGCCTACACCAAGCCGCCCCCCTCCTCGCAGTACACCGCCATGCACCCCGCCTACCCCAGCCAGCCTGACAGCGTCTACATGCTGCCCCCCAACCACGCCAAAGGCCCACAGAGCCTGTACCAAGTGCCCACAGGCCCCCAGTTCCCGGCTGGCCAGGGGAAGGCTCCTGCCCTGCTCCAGAAACAAGGGACCCAGAGCAGTGGGCAGGACATATACCAGGTGCCCCCGTCGCTGGGGCCATCGCAGGACATCTACCAAGTGCCCCCCACGTCCAAGGGTTCCCCTCAGGACATCTACCAAGTGCCCCCTTCCGCAGGCGGCCCCGGACAGGATATTTACCAGGTGCCCCCTTCCATGAACCAGACTCAGGACATCTACCAGACCCCGCCCTCCCTGGAGAAGGGGAGCTGGGATTCCCCGAAGCCCCCAGGAAAGGTAAGGCGCTTGCTTTTTGCCAGCTCCCCACCCCCGCAAATGAAGCGGCGATCCGAGTCGGTGCTGTACGGTCTGCTGGGCAGAGCTTGCTGCACGCTGAAGCCCCTGTTAACACACAAGCCCAGAGCCCGATCTGCTACTGTGCCTCCTGCCACACGGCTCCAGGTGTCCTCTCCTGATTCCGAAGCGGCTCGTTGGGTTATAATCAATAATTGCTTACACTTTTATAGCTCTTTTCTGGACACTCCACTCAAAGCGCTTAACACATAATGGGGATCCCCTCCACCACCACTAATGTGCAGCCCCACCTGGATGATGCAACGGCAGCCATAGTGCGCCAGAACGCTCCCCACACACCAGCTCTCAGTGGGGGGGAGAACAGAGTAATGAAGCCAGTTCATAGAGGGGGATAATTAGGAGGCCATGATTGGTAAGGGCCAGGGGGAAATTTGGCCAGGATGCCAGGGTTACACCCCTACTCTTTTCGAGAAACGCCATGGGATTTTTAATGACCACAGAGAGTCAGGACCTCGGTTTAACGTCTCATCCAAAGGATGGCGCCTCTTTACAATATAGTGTCCCCGTCACTATACTCAAGCATTAGGACCCACATGGACTGCAGAGTTTGATCACAAGGGGAGCGCCCCCTGCTGGTCTCACTAACACCTCTTCCAGCAGCAACCTTAGTTTTTCCCCAGAGGTCTCTCATCCATGTACTGACCAGTCTCACACCTGCTGAGCTTCAGTGGGCTGCCAGTTGTGAGTTGAAGAGTGATATGGCTGCTGGGTTGACTCTGTCAGTGCCTTTTAGGAGTTTGAATAAGTGAATCAAAATTTAAGTGATCCTTCAATGGGAACGGTGCCCCGACTAGCTCTGTTGGTAGAGCATGAGACTCTAATCTCGGGGTAGTGGGTTCGTGTCTCACGTCGGGCGCCAGGTCCTCCATGTTGGAGGCTGGGCACAAGGCTAACAACCCTGTCCCGTAAAAAACTGATACCCCTACATGCCAGAAGGCGTAACAGGCAAACATCCATTGAGGAAAAGTAGCTGGTCATTCTTTACTTGATTAATTTAAGAGAGACGGTATCTTTTTTATTTAACATAGTGATCAAACTCTATAGAGTAGTCTGCTGTACATGAGGTGATTTATATTTTGCAGTTATAATTGGATATTTTAACGTTTTGTTTGCCTTTTTTATTGCTTCCTCACATTGTCTCGAGGAGGAAAATGCTTTGTCAACATAATCACCTTAGTCTTTTCAAAAGTAGCCAGTTTGCACTCATTGTTTTTAATTGTCTTTAACTCATAATTTTAGTTAACTGCATCCTCGCTTGGGTTTCTTAAGCAGTAGTGTTTACTGATCCTCCAGTTTCGGTATCAGCTGAGATCTCGTCTTGTGAGCGGTGGTTTTGGTGTTGTCTTCCTTTTGTGGGATTGGATGCTGCTTTAGCAATTCTCTAGCCACTGAGCACTGCCCAGTCCTGAGTCACTGTTCTTTAGGGTCTATGAAAAACATCTAATTTCTTAAAAACAACTGGTCCAGGCCCAGGAGATTTTTTTTTGTGTTTTAGTACATGTAACTCTTCTGGCCTTTCTGTGCTGATACTGTTTGATACTTTAAGACTTTGCCCTTCTGTTGCCTGAAACTGATGCTGTCTCTTCCTTTATAATACCTGAGTGAAACATGCATTTCAAACAACCTGCAGCGACCAATAGTTTACCAAATTTTATCAATTAATATTGAAGTATTTATTGTGTTCATCACTGAAATGTTCTTGTCTTTTTCTTAGCCTTTCAGATAATCTTTTTCACTTGGACGTGCAATTTATTACTCTCTTTGGTTCTTTTTTAACCATTATATAAAGTGCTGTCTTTCTCCTTATCTTTGTCTTAAACGGCATTAATTCATGGAAATCATTGCTTAATTATCATCAGATAGTTTAAAGGAAATTCTAAACATCCATCCATTCTAAACATATAAGAAATTAAAATGAACATTTCAAGGTTGTTTTTTATTTTAGTCTTTGTGGTTTTTTTGCTCTAGTGCTGTTATTGGGAAGTAAGCTTTCCCACTACTGTATGTTAACTACACCCACCCTGATCTCCGAGTCTTTCAAAGTCAAGAGCACAGATCAGCTGTTCACCCCCTCTGTGCTGCACAAATTGACAGTAAAGCCACTGATCTAATTCCCCCCGTTGCGAGTTCATTTGGGTCTGTTCAGATCCCACCTTGCCCCTCAAGGTGAGCGCACTGGCACAAGCACTGGGGAGCCCGCCCGGTGAGTTGGGAACACAGTGCTTGAGCTGGCCAGGGCCAGGTGTGTGGGCAGCTGGGAGAGCTTCAGTTTCAGCCAGTGAAACTCCCCAGATTCTTCCCAGCACAGGTAGCATAGGCTGAATAACTCTATTTGTGTGCTAAACATGGCCTCTGTTATTATTACTTTTCAGAACAAACTTGTCCTTGTTGATGGTGCCTTTAAGTACATTGCGTATAAACAGTGCTGTTATTATTGTATTTTTCATATTTCATATCCTGTTTTCTTGGGAGATAAAACAACTCTGCATTCTTGGCGTGACTCAAGGCTACAGGCCAGGAACATGAACAGGGCATGTGTGAGGATGCTGACAGGTCAAGACTACTTTCTAAAACAACCCCAGAAACAGATCAAGTGTTGAGTAAACTAATGGAACGAATAGTCAATCGAATTTCTGAAAGGTTTCAGAAAGGAAGACAGGCTCCGTTTGGGAGGTTGGGTGTCGTCGTCATGTTAGGCCAGTTCGATATCTGGGGAACGGAGACCACTTAGGCACTAATCCATATGCTTTAGCCTCATCATTAAACGAACCGTAATAATTAACGGTTACTGGAGCGTTGTCCCAGCTGTCATCGGTCTCTGTCTGGCTTCCTGCTGAGCCTGGTCTCTAGGAGAGCAGACGGTGAGCCCCTTGCGGGGAATCGACTGTCCCTCTGCAGTTTTTAAAGTACTTCCTCTTTCGATGGGCTCCTCTGAAATGTGGTAAAATACACTAATGCATTTATTTGTGGCAATGTTGCCCTCTTCTCTAGCACTGTGTATATTTTTGGCTTCATGTGAGTGGGTGTTTAGAGTTTAAGACTGGCTCAGGTGTGAGTGTGTGCCCTGTGGTGGAGTGGTGTCCCGTCCGGGATGTACCCCGTCGTGTGCCCATTGCTTGCTGGGATAGGCTCCATCTCCCCCACGACGCTGATTTAGATGAAGCGGTTAAAAAAATGGATGGATGTTTAGAATTTTAGCGGCTGTGCTGCAATGTGTAGGATAATAATATAATGATTATCCTTGTAATTATATGGAGCTGTTCATCATAAAAGAGCTCAAACAGGTGGAAGTGAACTCTCTGCATCCCCACTAATGTGCTGCCCATCTGGGTGACACATAGCAGCACCCCTGTACACAGGTCAGGGGGAGGAGAGAGAAGCTGTTTCACTTTACTGAGTTAAGGGGGAACTTGAGAGAGGCAAATTTGTTAAAGAGTAGAATTAAGGCAGGACATCATCCGCAATTACATCTCTACTTAAAAAAAAATACTTTGGGATCTTTAGTAACCACGTAGTCAGGACATCAGTTTAATGTCTTATCTGAAGGACAGCATCTCCTGCAACATAATGTTTCCAGTCTCCATACTGGGGCACTGGTCTTTAAATTCTCTTCCAGAGGGAAGACTGCTACCTACTGGTCCACCAACACCACTCACAGCAGTGCCCTGGTTGCCCAGAGGTCTTCCATCCCAGTACTGACCAGGCCAGCCCCGCCGAGCACATGAGAGCTGAAGTCAGGAGCTCTGCTGTTGCAAATACAATAAATGCTTTACAGTTTTGCTCTTGAAATGTATTTTAAAAGCCATTTTGTAACACATTCCATTAAACCCTTTTGAACCTGTCACAGCCCATCAGTGAAATCCAGAATGAGACACAAGCCGATTTCTACAAGTACTATGTGTAAGCTCTTGGGAGATACTCTATTAAAATGTCTTGGAATCTGACCAGCATTTAATGAAATCTCTCTTATAAGGAATCTGCTGAAGTGTTCATAGGGTGCATTCTCTGGCTTTGATATGCCCTGTCTGCAGGGCTGGTTCAGCCTCTCAGGGCTATCGTTTTAATCTGTGCTGAACATCTAAAATCCTGTGAGGCAAGATGGCCAGCCCTGGGTATCCTCAATGGTTGCACCAGTAATGTATTTCAGACAGCCACAAGCTAGTGTGGCCACCTGAGGCACCTGAAGTCACTCCGGCTGCCTGCAGGGGGTGATTTTGCGGAGAAAGGCATGCCAGTCAGCCCTGCATGCCGGTGTCATTGCATTGCAGCCTCTGCCCCAGGGCATTTACACCACTAGGAATATGCTCTCTGGGCTGAAGAACAAGACAGAACTCAGTTTTAGCTCCAACAAATCCCAAAGGATCTCTGCCCTTCATACAAATACAGTGGTGCTTAAAAGTCCCACAGTTCAACTGTACGTTTGCGTTGGTTCAGTTTGAAGATTCAGATCATAAAAACATCTACAAGCGAGTAAGGCTGTTTGGTAGTGCGTAGCTTGGTGAAGAACGGATCTGGGCCTGCTGCCTTCGGGCTCAGCAGCAGACTCTCTCATTTGGCCAACTCTCACGGCCAGAGGAAGGCAGGCTTTTGTTTTTCCCCTTTTTGGTGGAAATCAAGGTAAACGACTGTTTTTAGAAGAAAAACACCACCTGTTGATGAAAAGATATGTAATTACTAAATAGCAGACATATCATTATGAGCACACATACACATAGAGGCCGTAGTTCATTTTCCGAGTCAGGGTTACGGGAATTTGGAATGATGTCACCAAAAGAGACGTTTTGGGAAATGCATCTGGAATCCTGGAGCTTCATTCAATCGGCAGAAGGGAATTCTGAGAGCTGCTGGCTGCTCCGTGCTCCGGACGCTCAGTCCTATTGTTCTGTTCGCGCGGAGCACCAGCGCTCGGGGAAGTTCAGAGG